CCTCCTTCGGTTTCTGAAAAAAAATCACACTAAATATTACCCTTTTGAAATGAGATTTTTAAGTAGCTGATTTATAGTTCTTAACCGTTCCAAAAGGCACCGTTTGGCATTCAAAACACCAAAATATTTTGGGGCCCTTCAGTGGTCCCCCAACCCCACCACAAGGAGGCTGAGGGTCGGCTTCGAAACCGAGGCCTGTCATTTGTAAAAGACACTGTCACCCCCTTCAAATCCTGGATCTACCCCTGTCTAAACACCTGTATAATGCGTTCAGGAGACAAAAATTGTGTCTTCTTTGTGAAATTGTTTGGCAAATATGCTTAGGCGGGGATGGTTTTTGTTCTTTATCCTTTACCAGCTACGCCACAGATCAAACTCAAATGAAGTAAGTCAATAGGTAATCCGGCATGGCGGCATGAATGTCATACTTCTCAGCAAGTTTTTTTTTTTTTTTTTTCAAAAGTCACGTACGTCGCCCTTATCACTATCAGTGATCTCTCGGTAATCTCTCTTGAAATTAGAATTTTGGTCAGCTGATTCATAGTTCTCAACCGTACCAAACGGCACCGTTTGCCCCCCAAAACACTCCACGGAGGCTGAGAGTCGGCTTGTCATTCCTAAAAAAAAAGCGATCACGTAAGATTGCCACCTGACATTTGGGTGCCTTGTGGCCTGTGAAAGGGAATCCCCCCCCCCCCCCCCCCCCCCGCCCCAGGACGAATAACCTGTAAAAACTCGGCAAAGTGGTACGGTTAACAGTAGCGGATTTAGGGGGTGTCAAGTGGTTCCTGACCCCCTTCGATTTCTGGAAAACATCAAACCAATGGTCCTCTCTTGAAATTAGAATTTTGACAAGCTGAATCACAGTTATCAACCGTACCAAATGGCACCGTTCGCCCTCTAAAATACCAAATTTTTTCCGGTCCCTTCAGCGGGCCCCGGACCACAGTCCAAAGGAGGGGGGGGGGGCGTCGGCGTTGCATCCGCGGACCCCCCCCTCTCAAAAATCCTGGGTCTGCCCCTGTCCGACACCCATATTCTTTCTTAATTATATCATGCTAGTTTCCAGAATTTGACTCTCGATTTATACCGCTCACTTAGCAGGTGACAAGATGATACAACGATTAGC